GAGAGAGAGAGAGAGGAGCGATACAAGTTTGGTTGTGCCGTCCAATGAAGGAGAAGGTGGCGGCCATAGCCGCCGAGCTCGGACACAGAGTGATGAAGGAGGAACAGTGGTAGAGAGGAGGGAGAGACCGAGAGGAGTAAGAAACCATAGTCGAGGAAGGTGAAGGGAGAGACGAAGGAAAAAAAAAAAAGAAGGAGAAAGAAGATAACCGGGGTGGAAGAAGAAAGAGGCGAGGAAGGGGAAAGGAAGGAGGGAGAAAAGAAAGCGGAGGTTGGTTAGGAAGGAGACGATAGCCATGACCGGGCGAAATGTTGACCGGCGGAGTTGATGGGGGATGATCAGGTGTTGACCGGGAGTTGACCGGGGGGTTGACCGCAGCATTGACCAAGGTGCAGACCAGCGCTGACCCAGCGTTGACCAAGCGTTGAGCAAAGCTGTTGATCGTCAGTTTGACCAAGCTGGAGCTGGTATATTCTCGCCAAGCCTTCTGCCTATCCCCTCGCCCTATGGATGTGCACACACCCTGTGGTACTTGCTGAGTCTGTCTGTCTCTTCTTTCTGCATCGAGTCTCTTCTGTCCAGGTGTAGGAACTCTGTGTATGAAGGATAGGCCCTTGTTGACCAAACCCACACAGGCTGCGTAGGGCTAAAGACTGTGTCTGACGACTCGACTGTCCCGAAGGACACGAACCCTCCCAAGGACCGGTACTGACCGGCGGGCTGCTCGTTGTGGCACGGTAGGCCCAAAATCCAAGTTGTGGGCTGCACAACAGGCCGTCTAAGTCTTGAGAGGACTTGCTGATCGCGTCGTCCTGTCTGCGGCGTTAGATAATTCCTGAGGAGTCACGGGGGATCTCCTTAAATGCCTCCTAATCAGCAGTGAGTCCTGTAGTGACGACCATAGCTTAGGTCTAGGCTAGTGACCCTAGTTGACAGAATCCTATCCGGATTCAATAGTCCATAGATTGAGTCAGTCAGGGGGTAGAAGTCTAAGTGGTGAGGAGTGGAAGTACCGTTTAGTTGTGCACCGGACACCATGGTTGACACCCGTGGAGGGAAGAGTACTACCCCTTACACCCAGGCTCAAGAGGAGTGAGCTGCCGCCATCTTGAAAGAGAGAAAAGCGAAGAAGGAGAAGGAGCTCCTTATGCAGACAATGTTAAAGATAATAGCGGAGGAGCAGGCGGCGAAGAAGAAAAGTTGGAGGAGGAGATGGAAATAATACAACAGGAGGAGGAAGAGAGAAGGAGGGCTGCAGAAGAAGAAGAGATGAGGAGGAGGAGCAAGAAGAAGAAGAACAGGCCCTCGAAAGGAGGCGTGTAGGAGAAAGAGGAGAGGGCAGTGGCACGAAGGGGGATGACCTGTGGGTGGAGAAAAAGATCTCAGAGTGGGTGGCTAATTTATCCTTGGGAGAAGATGAGGAGGCGATGCTGTACATGTCCCAGGAGGAGAAGGAAGCAGCAGCAAGGGAGATCGAAGCAGCGAATGATCCTCTAGAACGCTAGACCATAGAAAATAAGAAAAGGTTGGAGTGAAAGTTACGTCTGGAAAGGGAGAAGAAGAGGAGAATGGAGGAGGCTAACCGGATGGCCAGGGAAGTGGACAGTCTGCAATCGTGTAGAAAAGAAGTAGCAGCCTAGCCTGATATACAGGCTAAGTTGGATAAGATCCTTGGAAGCATTGAGCTCCTAGGCCGCGCTTGGACTGAACATCATCAGTCTGTCCGGGGCCAAGATATGGCCCTTCATTCCATCCGGAGTGGGTTTAGAGATTTTGCGCGCGACGTGGTGACTCACGTCGGGACCGAAGTTAAGAGACTGAAGGAAGGCGCAAACAAATTTTGTGCAGGGGCCATTGAGGGCGCCAAAGTAGTGGCCATAGCAGAGGCCGAAGCGCGTCCCCGCAAAGAGCCTGTCAAGCTCAAGTTTCCTAATACTTATAGCGGGAAGAAGGACGACAACTTTGATAACTAGGAGGCTAGTGCTAACATGTACGTGTATTTGCAGCATATAGCGCCAGAGGAACAAGTCCTCGTGGCGAAGCGGCCAGCTTTGCCAGGTCCCTTGCGCGCACAGCCAATTGTGAGCACAATATGGTTGCGTATTCTAAGCTCACATCTCTCCCTACGTTCCTCAAACTCTTGAGAGAGAGGTTCGCTGACGTCACAAGAGGCATCAGGGCTCTGACAAGCTGCAAACGATCCACTCATGTCAGTGGAAGAGTGCGAGAGCACTCAAAGCAGTGATGGATGACTTGGTAGCCATCCCAGACCATGGGGTCACTGAGACCCAATTAGTTAATTTGTTTTATCGTGCCATGCCAGAGCCCCAGCGAGGGCATTTCTTTGACAAGACCCAACAGACCAATATTACGTACGATGCGTTAAGTAGAGAACTGGTCCCCGTACGAGGCAAAGTCCATGCCAGTTTCCACTTTCTGGCATAAGGACCTTGACAAAGGAAAGAATTGGAAGGGACGTACAGGTTAGGGCCAAGCATCATCTAATCGTTACTTTAGATGAGGGTGGTACATACGAAGTCCCCTACAGTCAGATTGAGTGGGGGCTAGAGGAGGAGGACAGTAGTGTAGGTCAGGGGAGGACGTACGCTGCTGTCGCGGCTGGAGAGAGGCCGCAAGGTAGAGGAGGAGGCCAGGGCCAAGGGGGCCGGGTCATGGGAGGTCAAGGTCCGAGCGCACAGGGAGTTGGCGACCAAAGGAACCGCCAAGAGGGAGGTAGGGGTCAAGGTCCCCCGCCGAATTGTTCGGGTCCCAGTCGATCCCCACAGCGGAGAGGTGGAGGATCACCTCAGGGGAGAGGAGGTTGGCACCCAGGTTGGCCACAAGGCCGGCCTTGGGAAGATTTGGGCTTGGACCAGCGTGTGTGGCAACAACGAATGGACCAAGGCCAGTGCATTTATTGCGGTGACCCTGCCCATATCATTAAATATTGTCCAAACTATAGGGAAGCCCGTTTTGTTGCCCAAGGGTAAAAAGGCAGCCGCCGATAGGGGTCGCAACCGCCCCTACCACTAGGCCATGTGGGGAAGTGTGCGCGCACCACCAGGCAACTCCCACACCACCTGAGCCTATGGCAAAGGTTGCAGGTCAGTGCCTAGTTAGTTGTCCAGAGACTGCCTGTGTTAGAGTCTCTCTAGGCACTTCCCTCACAGGTCTGGTAGAAGAGTTGAAGGAGAGAATGCCGGTTTGGGCCAAAATGAAGAAAGAGAGTAAGGGACAACTAGTTTTAATAGATTTAAGGGTTTTCAGGAGCAGAGTGGGTGCCCTTATAGACACAGGGGCTACCCGTAGTTATATAAGTCGTAGAGCGTTGAAAAAGTTGAGGCTAGGTCTGAAAGTCCAGAAATTGGAAGACCCCATAGTCAGTATCCTCGCAGGCAATCGCACGATGCATGTCGAGGATTATGTAGAGGGCGTCCAGGCGTATCTTCGCTTAGAAAAGGAGGGGAAGGTGGAGAAAGTTCTCCATTCCCTGACTCTCCTCGTAGAAGACAACCTCCCTCTCGATGTTGTCCTAGGTATGGACTGGGGAGAGGCAGCAGGGGCCACACTCCACTTAAGAGAGCATGAGTGTAGGCTCCCTAGTCCGTCAGGTGAGGTCAAGACTGCCCGCCTGTTCAATGTGTCAGGGGTAGACAACTCCCTGGCACATTGTTGTCTCAGAGCTCCCACGTTCGCGCATTAGTGAGGAAGGAGCAATTAGAGGAGCAGGTCTTTGTAGCCTACGTGAGGCCTGTCACTGAGCCTAGAAAAGATGAGCCAATAGACCCAACCATTGCCAAGCTGCTGGAAGAGTTTAAGGACTTAGCAGAGCCGCCGACAGGAGTAGTGTCGCGGCCGATCCAACATCGTATAGAGATAGAGCCTAGCAGTAGGACTCCTAAGGGGGCGGTTTACAGAATGTCCCCAAAGGAGTTAGAGGAGTTGTGCAAGCAGTTGGACGAGCTCCTCGAAAAGGGTTGGATTAGGCCCAGTTCGTCTCCTTTTGGAGCACTAGTGTTATTTGTCCCCAAAAAGGAGGAAGAGTTACGTATGTGTATAGACTATAGGGGTCTGAATGCGATCACAGTGAAGAATGCGGAGCCGCTGCCCAGGATAGACGATCTCTTAGATCGAGTGCAGGGCTGCAGGTATTTTTCGAAGATAGATTTGAAGTCCGGGTATCATAAGATAGAGGTTCATCCTGATGACCAGTACAAGACTGCATTCCGGACTAGATATGGGCATTATGAGTTCATAGTGATGCCCTTTGGACTGACCAATGCGCCAACCACATTTCAACGTTGTATGAATGATGTGTTTAGGCCTTGGTTAGACAGATTCGTCATAGTTTATTTAGATGATATCTTAGTTTTCAGTAGGACCCTCCAAGAGCATCAGGGTCATTTGAGGCAGGTCTTGGAGAAGCTGAGAGAGCCTAACTTCAAGAACAATGCGAAGAAGTGCGAGTGGGCCAAGACACAAGTCTTGTACTTGGGCCACGTTTTAGACGAAGATGGGATTAAGCCTGAGGACAACAAGATAGCGGCGATTCGAGATTGTCCAGAGCCCCGCACACTGACATAATTGCGATCGTTCTTAGGCCTAGCTAACTATTATAGAAAGTTCGTGAGGAACTTCTCTACTATCGCCGCTCCCCTTCGCAGGTTGCTAAAGAAAGAAGCGATCTGGACGTGGGACAAAGATTGTACGTCCGCGCTTAAGAAATTAAAGCGCGCGTTGATAGAGTACCCTGTCCTCAAGGTAGCAGATCCGTCCTGGCCATTTGTCGTCACCACGGATGCGAGTCCGTATGGTATAAGCGTCGTGTTACAGCAAGACGACGACAATGGCTATAGACCCGTAGAGTTCATGTCAGCGAGGATGCCCTAAAAAAAGGTAGCTACCTCGACGTATGAGAGAGAACTCTACGCTCTTAGGCAGGCCTTAGAGCATTGGAAGCATTACCGGCTTGGGAGGCACTTCAAAGTTTACTCAGACCACGAGACTCTTAGGTGGTTGAAGACGCAGGCCAAGATGACACCTAAGTTGACTAGGTGGGCCGCTGAGATAGACCAGTATGACTTTGAGCTCAAACCAGTTAAAGGCAAGTATAATGTAGTTGCGGATGCTCTAAAGATCAGACTACTTTGGAGCTATAGTCCACCATCTGGATATAGGGACAGACCTGCAAGAGAAAGTAAGACAAGCGTATGCGCATGACCCTATTTATAGCGACCTTCTCAAGAAAGTTAAGGAGGCCCCAGAGACTGAACCGCATTACCGCACTACAGAAGGATTACTATTCGAGAAGACCAACGTAGTAGACCGTCTATGCGTTCCTAATAGTGAGGAAATCCGTAGTTTGATCATAGGGGAATGCCACGACACAGAGGGACATTTCGGTTGGCAAAAGACTCTAGCCAATCTGATGCATGCGTACACTTGGCCAGGAATGAAAGCTGACTGCATAGAGTATGTTCGCAGTTGCAAAGTTTGTCAGAGAAATAAGACAACTACACGTGCCCCTCTAGGTCTTCTTCGACCCTTGCCTATACCCGATCAGCTTGGCGACTCAGTATCCATTGATTTCATGGATGCTAACGTCAAGAGTAGGCACGGTAGGAGCCAAGTCATGGTGATAGTTGATAGGTTTAGCAAATATGTAGTTTTTGTTCCTTTGCCTGCAGAGGCACGTACTGATTTAGTAATCCAAAACGTTTTTGATCATTGGGCGAGTGATCACGAGATTTCGTTGTCTATAGTTAGCGATAGAGACACCCGGTTCACTAGTCAGAACTGGCAGGAATTGATGAAAGTCTATGGGTCGAAGTTGCTAATGTCATCTGGCCGTCATCCAGAGACCAACAATCAGACTGAGCAAATGAACAAAATCCTGCAACAAGTGCTGTGCATGTATATTAGACCGGATCAGATCAACTGGGATGAGATGTTGCCCAAGGTAGCCAGTGCGTATAACAATAGCGTGCACTTAGTCACCTGTCGTACTCCCCACCTTCCGTTTTCCCCGTATAGGTGCAAGTTGGAGCTGGGACTCGGTATAGCAGGTATTCCCATCTTTAAGTCGGGTACAGGTGCAATTTTCCCTTCCCTTTTAATGGGACAGGAGAGCTGGGGGAAGGTTATCATGGTCCTGGCTGGCTTTCATTTTTGAGAGCTTCCGTTCAGTCCACAGAGTCCCTATGTCCACTTGTCCACTTGTCTTCTGAAAGTGCGGAGATACACACAGTTATGGATGTGGCGTGCTGTATGGATTCCTGTTTATGGCTATTTTATGCTGTACTTTCAAGTGTGCCCAGGGCTCTTTCTCTCAGAGTTCCACTCCCACTTGGAACATCCACGTTAAGTTATTAAACTACCAGTACTTGGCCCATACATCGGCTGCAGGGCGTTTTCGTGCACACACCACAACTTCCGGGCTTGGTCTCCGAAGCAAAATGGCTGGCGACGCCAGGCAAGGGGTGCGAAGGTTCTTTTTTTTTGGCGTGCAGGGCATTTTTGAGGGCCTGGGAAAAGTGCCTCAGTGGTTTAACCTGAAGCAAGCATGGCTTCATAGGCACCCTACCATGAAGATGTTTGGAGCCCCAATTGCTTCGATTCCAGAGACCTGTGCAACAGCATGGGCCACTGTGTGTTTCCGCCTCCCCTAACCCATGACATGGAGTAAGGTCATGTGTGTAACGTGTTCAACTTCTTGCAATCCATCGAAACACAAGAGCCCACAGGTGACGGCCATTTTTCTGAATGTGGGACCAACAATGCATGGGATAGTGTCTGGCTCCACTGCATTACATTTTGAAATGTATGGAAACCTGGCTTTTGTTGCAATACCTTCAAAATGATGATCAGTCCAAATATATCTGCTCCATGTGTCACTCTAGATACCTGCCGAACGTCGAGTAAGAAAAGAATGGGAACCATTATCTTGCATTGTAACCTTGGCAGCGTTCCTGTTGGCTGTGGAATGGTTGTGCTGCGCAGGGACTTTGGTTTTCTCTGAGAGGCATGATGACTTGACACTGGAAGCAAGAATTATTTTCATCAATGGCGGAAACCTCACCATTGGCACTCCAGAGAACCGGTTCCCAAAGAATGCAACTATAAAATTGACTGGGCCACGAAGTGCACAACCCCTGGCATTAACCAATGACATCAGCTTCGGGTCGAATGTAAGCTTTTTTTTTTTTTTTTTTTTTTTTTTTTTTTTTTTAACGTAAAGCCCTCAGCTCATTTCTCTGTGTGGCTTTTTCTCAGTTCAAGCAATTTTTCCCTTCTTGTTCGCAGCCAGGAGGCTGCGCTTGTGTGGGTTTCATTTTCGTCGTTTCATTTCTTTCTATTTTCGGTAAGGTCGTGCAGTACAACTTCGCTAGGACGGGTTCGTTTGGGGTCTCTGACAGCAGAAAATAGGGTCCGGTCGGAGTCATCCCTAAGACCGGTCGTAGGGCAGGTTAGCTTTTCAAGGTCGTTGCAATTTAGTATAGGGGGCCATCCATTGTTTCCATTTTGAGGGATAGAGTTTTTTCCCGTTGCAAACTGGGGGCGGGCGATACGGGTGTGGGCGGGCGATTTGGGTCTGGGTCCATTCCCCTTTTGTTTTTTTTCTCTTCTATTGCATCTTCCCAGAAATACAGTATTGAAGCATTCTGCTGTTTACTACTCCCAAGTAACGAAATAGAACTGACTGCCCTGCCCTGCCTGCCCTGCCCTGCCTCGTTGGCAGGGCTTACTAAGAAAAGAAAAGAAAAACAAAATGTATCGTCTTTCCGGAAAAAAAGAAGAACAAACGCACTTACCTTTGCCCCGAGAGCTGTTGAGATGGAGGGCGTTGCTCCACTACTGACCAAATGTGCAACATGAGCATGAATCTTCCAGTAGAGCAAAGGTAGATACACTGCTGGTAGTTCAGAGCTTGAAATGCCCTTTTCCTGGCCGCATGTGGGGTGGTACAGCCCTCGGTAGGTTGCTATTCGTTTCTCAGTGTTTTTTTGTTTTTTTTTTTGTTTTCCTCCTGCGATAGAAGAATCTGGGCTTTATCCAGCGTCCTAGCTCAGTTGGTTTGTGGGTTCAATCCCCACGGCCTCCTTTGGCACTCTTGGTGCCATCCAACTGAGATAGTGAGCTGGATCCTCCCAGTCCGTATCAGTAAGGTCTTCAGCCAACACAGTCCGTATCAGTAAGGTCTTCAGCCAACACGGGTGTGAGTGCGCTTGTGAGTGGGTTGCATGTGGTGTGTGGGAGAGCGTTGGCTTTGGACACTACCATCCAGAAGGCTGCCCATCCCCCACTTCATAAGACCTTTGCCAAGTTACTGTCTAGAACATTAAGCATGCTACCCGAATGGCTGCGTCCCCGCGTTTGATGCGGTATAACAGTATGGAATAGAGAATACTAACTAGCACGACTCAAGGCCCCTGAATCTATAGACAGCATCAAACATCACGTTCAGACAGACATCACCACGAAGTGGGATGACCTCAAAGCCACACTGGACCTCCTGTGCTCCAAAGCAGAAAACCAATCACACATCCAATAATTTAGCAGAATTGGCTTGGTGGGGATCAAGGGGCTGGCTGGGGAGGGTGGTCTGGGACGAGCGACAGGGGGAAAGCCAGGGAAATGTGGCCAGAGACTACCACCTCACCTTTCACGAGTCGACACAGGTAGACCCATCTATCCCCCTGAGACCCTCCTCTGAATTCCCGGCACTCTTTCCCCCACCAGTATTGAGTTTGGTGGTAATTCCACACCCCAGTATATAAAGGTGGCCAGGGGCCTATAAGGGCGCTTCACTTCAGGCACAAAAGCCACACCACTGGGAAGAAGGAACCTATAAATTGATGCCTTTCTAATCCCCCCCACTAAATCCCTCCGTCCCCAAGTAAAGGAGACCTGGGACCGCCCCATTACGAGAGAGGAAATTCAGACAACCTTACTCCAAATGGAAGATGGGAAGACGCTGGGGGTGGATGTGATGTGCGAGCCTACGTACCTGAACAAACTCCTGAGTGACCCTTTTCACCCCCCCCCTCTTCTCTCTCGGGGCTTTGGCCAAATTGGCCAAAGTTACGGGAAACCATCTGGTTCGGGCCTTTTGGGAACTTTTTCATTTTGTCCTTACGAAGGGACGCGGACCACGAGCGGCGTTCGGACGAACGTACGGAAGCAATGATCAGTTCCAAGCGGCTCAGGCTGTAACTGCCGAAGGTGGGAACTGGTAGATGAATCC